ACAAATCCCTGAGCTGTCCACTGGTGTGGTTCTGATGTTGTTGGTCTGGGAACAGCCTGGGCATTCGGGTTTTCTAAAGCCCCAGGGGATTCTACCTTGCAGCCAGGGCTGGGACTCACTGTCCCTAGCATACAAGAAGTACCTAACAGGTGACCATTTTGTCCTGTTCGGCCCTCACACCTGCTCCTGCTCTGAAGCTGACCCCCTCGCCTCGCCTCGTTCCCCGATTCTGAGCCTTCCAGCTCCGAGCAGCCCTGACGACGGTGGTGTCTGTTCTGCGTGGCTCGTTGGGTTACTCCTACTTTTGCCCAACCCCAGCCCCAGAGTGCTCAAGCTGTAGGTGCGAGGAGATGAGGAGAAGGAGCCATGGGAAACAAACTGGGAGGCAGGTGAAGACAGTCTTAACGGTTGCCCCAGAGAACCAGCTTTGCCCTTACCTTCCTCATGCTTCATGGAAAGTGCTTCTGTTCAGGCCACTAGGTAGAGGGCGGTCTTTGGGGGGTGGTTGGGAACAGCCAGGCTCCAGGTGACATGCAGAACCTTGGCATGGTGGTGTCACCGAGTGTCCTGCAGCCTTTCTAGAAAATTGCCTTCTCGTCTTCTCTTTCAGGTAACTGGCTCATTCACTCATTCATTCATTCACTCATTTACTCATGTATATCAAAATCTTACTGAGAATCCATTGTGTGAGAACCATGTTTCAGACTGTAGTTAAGTCCTGCTTGATTCTTATTGGGTGGATGCACTTAGATCCACTTTGGAAGGGAATCCTGAGGCTTAGACAAAAAAAAAAAAAGGCTCATGTCAGGTCACAGGAGTAGAACCTCAAACCCGTTTTCTTTTACTCTGAAGCTCATAGTCTTTGCCACGATTCCTTTCCTTCTCCTTTATTCGCTCAACCAGTATTTATTGAGGCTCTGCTATGTGCTGGGCTGAGCCCCCAGGGCCAGGGCTGTAGGGACAGCACAATGGAGACCATCTTCTCTGTGTCATTATCCATGTGTACCTGATGAAAACTCTCCCTGAATAACCCACCCAAAGTCACCAGTTCCCAAAACAGCCTTTCTCTAGAATCTTCTCCCGTGCTCCATCCTGACCCCGCACCCAGCAGGGCCCCTGGTAAATGTCGTCTTGCATATCATTCGCGGGACGTCTTTGGGTGAGAGACACCACGGTGAGCACGGCACGTCTGGTGTGATGACAACCAGCACCGCAGGGGATGGCCGGCCCTGCACTTGAATGGAGCTGCCAGCCCAGACACAGGAGCCTCCCTGGCTCGTTCTGCAGAAAGAATGTAGGAGGGAGGCTGGGGAACGAGGCGGGTGGATGACAGGCGGGTGAGCGGTGCTGCACTCCGGAGATCCAAGCCGGCACGGTGACCGTGTGACAGCGCTGAGCCCGGGGCAGGGGGAAGAGGCCTCTCTGCCGAGATGGAGTTTTCTAAGGGACACGAGACATTTCCACGAGTGAATGGCTCTGGGGGATGCCAACATGCCATACTGAGGCTGCTCTTACCCACCTGTTAGCAAGGGGGATCACATGTTCACACACACACACACACGCACAAACGTGCACACACGGACGCACACACGTGCACGCACACACATGCTGGCTGCTTCACTGGGTGTCCACAAAGTCCTGAGAGAGAAAATACGGAGTGCCAACCCAGACAGAATGTAAAGTCCGTCTGTGTTATCTTTACACGTTATTTATTTTTTCACTATGTCCTTCAAACACCCCCTCAGGCCGTGACTGTGACAGAAGACTGAGCAGGAATGGAAGAGTTAGCTTCTGGAACTTTCTTTATCAAAGCACATCAAAGGGACGATGTTCCCTGTCTACTTTATGGCGTGGCTCCTGTCTGAAGAGCACAAATGTCACTGCTCTGTGGAGTGGAGGAGCCTGGGAGTTGGAGGCAGACCTGGCCGGAGACCTGCAGACCTGCTCAGCTCTCAGCTGCAGCTTTGTCCCGTGAAAATGATGATGATGACATCTGTCAGACAGAACTGTTGGGGATTAAATCAGAGAGGGGCAACGGCTCTGGCACGTAAGAGGTGGTCAGTAGTGCCCTTCCTCTTTGCTTTCTGTGTCAGAGGAAAAACCTCACCTTGCAGAGTTTACACAGGAATTTGCTGACCTCCCTCCATGGCCAGTCCGGTGCTCCCGGCTTCAGAAAGACCTTTGTGTGAGCCCTGGGAGGGTCCCCGAGGCTCTCGAGATTTATTGACCAATGTTGTCTTACAACAACCCTGAAAGAGGGTTTCACGATCCCCATTGACGAGATGAGTCAATTAGTTAAATAATTGATCCGGGGACCTTGGTTGGGAAGCAGCAGAGAGGAACCTCTAACCCAGGTCCTACTGACCCTGCGTGTTGGAAACAAGCCTCCGCCCAGTTCTGCCAGTGGCCAGAGCTGTGAGCAGCTTGGAAGAAACATCAACTTTACAGGCTGGAAGGGACCAGCCGGTGTGGCTCAGTGGATTGAGAGTTGTCCCGTGCACCAAGAGGTCATCAGTTTGATTCCTGGTCAGGGCACATGCCCGGGTTGTGGGCTTGATCCCCAGTGGGGGCATGCAGAAAGCCGCCAGTCAATGTTTCTATCTCCCTCTCTCTAAAAAAAAAAATCAATAAAAATATATCTTTTATAAAAGGCCTCCCATTTGGTCTGGTCGGTTCTCCAATGTTTACATCACTCAGACCAGAGCAGGGTTATTGTTCAATGACTCCTGGAGGTGTTTTCCTATTTCAGGACGATGTGGAACTGAGATGCATGAGTGGGAAGGGGGCGGGGCTGACAACCTGTATCGACTTGAGGGGAAACCGCTTCTGTGGTGTGTCAGGAGGACCATAGGAAGGTCTGGGAGGTTGGGTCTATTCTCTTGGGAGTGAGGGTAAGGTCCGCAGGTCAGGTCTGTGCTCCAGGGATTCTGCAGTCTTCGATGTTTCTGAACATGTCAGGCATGGTCCAGCTATTGGACTATAAACACCATATAAAGAGGGATTATTTTCTTTTTTTGTTCGCTGTAATTTCCTTCTCCTAGAACAGCAGTTCTCAACCTGTGGGTCATGAGCCTGTTGGGGGTTGAACGACCCTTTCACAGGGGTCGCCTAAGACCATCAGAAAACACATATTTCCGATGGTCTTAGGTCTGAGACACCCTCCTCCATCGTCACCAGGCGGATCCACCCACACGCAGATGCGCCACAGACAACAGGAGGAACTGATTAGATGGCCGTGGTCGCAGCATTGGGAAGGTTGAGAACCACTGTCCTAGAATCATGCCTGCACACAGTAGGAGCTCATAACTCATTAATTAATTTCAGGGCACGTGCATTGACTGTCCCTCTGTTTAGAACATCCTTACCAAGAGAGGCACCTGACTTGATACCTCATTTTATTTAGGTCTCGACTGAACAGTCACCTCCGTCGGGAGGCCTCCCTTAACCCCCTCATCAAGGACTGGTTATCTTCCATCACTCTGTCCCCTCCCCTTCCTTTACTGTTCCTCCTTGACACTACATTTGTGAGTGTACCATTACTTTCCCCACTGGCCACTCCTCAGCTGTACCCTCAGCTCCTAGAGGAGTCTGAGTCTGTGCTCAATAAATGATGTGTTGAGTGAGTGAGGGGATGAATAGATACATGCACACTCTGAAGAAAGGTTAGCATGGTGCCTGGACATAGAGCGTGAGAGATAAATGTTGTGTTGATGATACTGATGATGAAATTCATCATGAGGCTGTTGACTCTGGGTTGGCCCCTGACCGTGCTCAGTGTAGGACCTGGCAGGATGGTGAGTGGAAAATATCATTTTCCCTTCGATGGCTGTTCCTCCCTGTCACCAACTCTGAAGAGGCTCTAAAGAACGATGCTGCTACAACTCCGGCTCCTCACTTGCTGGGGTAAGGTACTGGGGACACAGTTTATTCTCTCTTCCCAACTATGACATTAAAACACTTTAAGATTTTTCATACTAACGTGTAAATGATTAGCAGCAGCATCATCCCCACCACATTCCAGCCATGTGACCTCTCCCCTCTATGACTTTCTCCCATGTGCTTCTATACATGCTGCTATCTGCCTGAAGTGTCTCCATTCTGCCCCGTTTCCTACCTAAAGCTACTGTCTCCAAATTCCAGCTCCAGCATCATCTCCTCCATGAAGCTCAATCTGAGATCTTCCAGCAGTTCCTTCCTCCTCTCTCTGGTTTTTCCTGCTGCCCTCCCCCACCCTTGCCTTTGGAGCCTTTATCACAGGGCACACTGTTCGTATGCAGACCTCTCTCCCCAGGCTAGAAATGAGCTCCCCAAGGTCAGGGGTCCTGCTTATGGTGGCTGGTAAGGGGCAGTTCTGACTTGAGCCAGTAGAGGGTGTTTATCCAGCATGTGGACTTGGCTTGCAGACCCCCTCCGTTCAAACCCCAAGACAGGTGTCTCATCTCATGCCTGGAATCTCCCACTTGAAATCAGCACAGTGAGTATCAAACACCACAGACCAAGGGATGAAAGTATAAGGACATGGAAATGGGCTAGGTCACCCTATGCGATGACTTGGGATGGGTGGGGAGCAAGAAGTTGTTCCTTAGATACTTTTTGCTCTGGTATATGGAGGCCTGCTTATGAGTTCATTGAAACTAGACATAGAAAAACGAAACAATTGTTGAACATATTTTTTAAAACTGTACAGAGCTTTATTATTTTTGTTAATTCAGCAGAAAATGGATCACACTGAAATCATCCCTGTGGCTCATTCAGCTCAGAGTGGTCGTTTCTGCTCAGATTCACGAAGCTTTGTGGGCCATGGAAACACGGCCGTAAACGACCTTTGAAAATCACACCCAAGGAAATGAATATACAACAAATTCCAAAACTCAAAAATGAAAACGACAAAATCTGTTTAAAACATCCCCTGCACGCTTGCAGAAATGTTCATCTTACAGGGAACTTGGAGGAAGGCCTCGGATATGACACCCAATGGGCTCTGTTCTCTCTCCACCTCATTAGCATGAATCGCTCTGCACCATGGCGAAGAAGAATTTGCAGAAAGAGCCCCAGGTCTCCCCACAGTACTCCGAGGCTACCTTCTTCTGGTTCATGTCTGGGTCGTCCGCACACTCGGGGTTGTTGAAGTCCATGGTCTTGGACTCTGCTGCGCCAGAGAGGGTGTTCTCTTTGAACTTGTTAGGCTCCATGAAGGAGGCCTCGTTGACCACGCTCTGCTCCCCGGGAGACGGCGCCACTGACTCCTGGCTGGGTTTCTTCCTAATTAGAGTAGAGTTTACCAGCTTGAGATTGGATTCTGGAAACTTCTTTCTGCACACCCTGGTCTTCAGGACGCTCTTGGAGTCCCCACAGATGACCTTTTGAGAGCGCAGGCTCCGGCCAATTTGTTTCCAATAGACACTCTTTTTGTTCGACTCCAGGCACGAGGTCGGATTGCCAGTAAAGAAACAGGAGAACTTGTCGTCCTGCCGGGTGCAATCGACCCTCAGAAGAACGCCCTCTTCTTTCTCAGTCACCACCCACCTGCAGTCGGCATGGTCTCGGGTCACAAACTTGCCTTTGGTCGGGTTCTTGGGCGGCTGGCTTCTCTGCCCAGTCTGGGGCTTGCCCAGGGCATGCGTTTCATCCGCGCCGGCTTTGCTGACACCTCTCTTCCTTGCTTCCTTCTTGCCGTCCACCGAGAGCACGTGAGCGGCCAGGAGAAGGAAGGACAGCCGGGAGAGGCTGTGGACCCTCATGTCTTCGGTTCGGTGGGAGCCTGTTCGACAAACGGGGGTGAGTCAATGCCGGGCAGCATTTCAGCAGGGCAGGGCCGCAAGCGGACCCGTCCTCCGCTCTCACACATGCCTGCCGCTCAGGACCGAGTCCAAGAACCTTCTGGTCCCTGGAATGACTAGACGAGCAGCCTGTCTACCTACACTTCTGCTTGACTTGAGCCTTGAATGTCAGAAACGCCCTACCCTTTCCTTCCTTTCTTCACCCCTCGGAGCCTCGTTACATCTCGCCCCTTCATTTGTTCATTCCCGCCTTCATCTGCCCCCACACTCGCGCCTTAGAGGCCGCTCTGGGAATTCCCAACAGTATTGACCAGGAGTCTGTCCCCGTTGTGTCCCCAACTTGATCTTGGGCAAGTCTCTCTCCGCCTCTGGGTCTCAGTTCTTGTATCTGGAAATCAAGGTGGGGACCACTGCCCTCCCCCCCAGCTCCTGTGCGCTGTTTTTCTGTTTCTCAGTTCTACATGGGCTCAGACAACCCCGCTATGACAGAGGACGTGGTAAGTGACAAAAAAAGTGATGTTTGTCCCAAGGTTAAACAAGCGCAAGATTTGTCTACTCTGAGATGGGTGGGTTTGTGAAGAGGGGCACTTGGGATGAAGTAAGAGCCCAAGGAAAGGCACGAAGCCTTACATTTGACTGGGCTCAGTGAACCAGGGTGGGTAGGGGTGAATTTCCACCAGGGCATTTGGACTGCTGCAGCACAGGGCCGGGCTTTTAAATATAAACCATCGAATAAATAGAATCACCCTAAATGCTACACTAACCTACATGGATACTGTCAGATGAGCAACAAAACCACACTTAAAAGGAGAAGAGAAATAGCATCTCTATGCACTTGACCAGTGTCTGATTCTCATCTTGTTAATCCACACGAGAGCCCTCTCTGGCAGGTGATACACCTCTCCAGGTAACAGATGTGGCAGTTCAAGCTCAGATCAGCAAATACATGGCTCAAGATGCCACGAAGAGCAAGTGACAGAGCCGGGACAGGCAGCCAGACTTATCTCTCTGGTCCTTCACTCCACCCCTTCTTGCCTTCACCTTACTCTGCCTTTCAAAAATATTGGCAAGAAACAAAACAGTCATCATGAACAGCCCAGGATTTGGTTTGGCTTAATTCATGGTGACAAGATGATCCATTTTGACAGTGCTCCATTTTAAAAGAAAATACCGAGCCCTGGCTGGTTTGGCTCAGGGGTTAGAGCGTCAGCCCTCAGAGCAAAGGGTCTTGGGTTTGATTCTCGGTCAAGGGCACATATCTATGTTGCAGGTTTGATCCTGGGCCCTGGTCGAGGTCATGCAGGAGGCAACCAATTGATGTGTCTCTCACATCAATGTTTCTGTCTCTCTCCCTCCCTACCTTCCACTCTCTCTCTAAAACAGAAAGAAAGAAAGAAGAAGAAGAAGAAGAAAGAAGAAGAAAGAAGAAAGAAAGAAAGAAAGAAGAAAGAAAGAAAGAAAGAAAGAAAGAAAGAAAGAAAGAAAGAAAGAAAGAAAGAAAGAAGAAAGAACACTCAGTCTTGTTAAAAAGAGGCTGGCCTAGGATTGGCCGGTTCTCATGTCCACCCTGGGCATCCGGCTGTCAGGGCTGAGAAAGGGGAGACAGTCACAGGCATGTGGCTTCTAAATGAAGGGGGGCAGGAAGGCTACCTGTACCAGATGAAGACCCGCTCATTCTTCAGGGCATTGGGACTCAGCCCCACAGGTCCCTGCTGGGACCCTGACCCAGGACCGGAGACCCTCCGGGAAGCTGGAAGTGGGGCAGCCAATCACCCTCTTGAGAGAGCCAGGCTCTTACCTTGTTCTGAGTGTGGGGTCCAGTGCAATCCCAGGTGTTAGAGCGAGCTTGTCTCATCTGCAGGGCAAAGCAGGGACGGCGCTTTTTATAGGGGCCCAGGCAGCAGGGTTTCTGAAAGCACACACCTGTGTCGCTCCAGCCACGCCCCTCCCAGCCACGCCCCTTCAGAGGCGCCAGCTCCCGCAGGGAAAGTGGTTGGTGTAATCCCAGGGGCGGAGGGTTACAGGCAGGGCATTAAAGGACTTCCTCCAAGCCCTTCCTTCCCCCCAGCGGCCAATGTGGGAGCGCAGCTCAGCCTTGCAAAGGCCCTTCTTGATGGGACGGGAACCCCAGCAGCAATATCCCTGGGGAAAATGATAAACAACAACAAAAGCAATCGTAGCTGCCAGACACCGTGCTAGGTCCATTTCCCCTACGCTCTCTGTTGGTTCTCATCGCATCCACTCCACGATAAGGGGAGCTGTGATTCATCCCATTTTACAGATGGAACGTGAAAGCATGGAGATATTCAGGGATTGTCCAAGGTCACACCGCCAGGAGGATGCAGAGCCCAGAGCTTGGAGCTGGGGCTCCCTGCATCCATCGGCCTATCTTTCCCTACCTGCCACTCCAGTCAATGTTTGGCGCCGAGTGAATGAGCTGGGGATGCCATCTCAGACTCTGAGACCCTGCTTTCCTGAGTCACTGGGTGGGCAAAGGGATCTGCGGGCTCCCAAGGGCTGGTAGACAGCACGTTCTTGATCAGGGAATTTCTGCTGAAAATACTCACCTTCAGGTCACATGTGGGAACCTCATTCCGGTCCACCTTTGGTAGGCAGTCTCATATCAGAATGATGTAGGTGAACTGAACACAGCACCCCCTCTAGGGGTTCACACTAAATTATTTATGGGGCTGAGCTGCTGGCCTCAAGTGAAGACAGATTTGGTTCATAGAGGGGACTCAAGTGGTCTTTCTTAACACCAGACACGATTTTTTCATGTTACACACAGAGAAGGAGACACTCCCACAAAGGAGATGTGGACCCCACTATATTTAGTCACCTCCCTTTTCCTACCTGGGCACAAGAAATCGTAATTTTCTTCTGAACCAGCCATAAGGAAAACGATAGCACACGGATGGTAAAAAAGGACAACCGACCTTGCTTTGGGACTGGAAAACCAGGAAGCAGGGGACTGCGCCATCTGGGCGGGTCCTGCACCCAGGGGTCAGCACTCCGCTCCAGCTGACTGAGCACCTGTGGCCGCAGGGGAGGATTCCCAGACTCCATTTTATAAAAATCTTGTGTATCTGCAATGAGGGGGTCAGATACATTTCCCTGGAGGAAGATGCCATCAATAAACGCCATGCCCGCGCCCCGGAGAAGGGCGGATGCTGTGAAGACGGTGTCTGCCACCGCTGAGTCGTGCGGCCCTCCGCGGTGTCTGGAAAGGGGCATTTGTCCCATCGGGGGTGACGGCAACGCAGCTGACAGGTTCTTGAATGAGGCTCTGAGCAGAACATGTGAGCTAAATCCTTAAGAGGACTTGTTGGATAGTCAGCAATTGTAACTTGGGTGTTGGGTCTGAGGGCCCTCGTGGACTAGAGGCAGAGCCCAAGTTGTAGAGACCCCCCCATGAGGCCCCCTTTACTTTGTCCAGATTTCAGAGCAGGGAAATTGGGCTTCCCCGTGAGAAGTGGGGACAACACCCCTCCATGAAGCAGGTCATATTAACTATTTTAACAGGTGTCAGTTTATAAGTGCCAAAGACTTACTTTAATTTTAAGTAATTATTCATTATGTTAGAGCATCTATGCCCAATATGGACTATTTTAGGGCAATGGGCACTATGATTATGGGACATTTAGGCAAATGTGTCCCTGTTACATAAATTCTTTTAGTATACACTATAATTTTATACAATTGCTATGTGTATAATTTTATTTTGTTTTTTTGGTTTTTTTTTTTTTTTTTATTGATTAATTTTTGTTACAGATGATTCTCCTTTTTTCCCCCACTGATTCCCCCCTTCCCCTCCCCTCCCTGCCCCTTCCCCAGATTGTTGTCCATGTCCACTGTTCATGCATACATGCGTATAAGTTCTGTGGTTCATCCCTCTCCCACCTCCCCACTCCTTAGGGGATTGTCAGTCTGTACCCCGCTTCCGCGTCTCTGGGACTACCCCATTCCTCAAACTGTTATGTTCATTATATTCCACAAATAAGTGAGATCATATGAAATTTGTCTTTCTCTGTTTGGGTTGTTTCATTTAGGATGATACTTTCCAGGTCCCTCCATGTAGTCTCAAAGGATAAGAGATCTTTCTTTCTTACCACTGCGTAGTACTCCATTGTGTATATATGTACCACAACTTTTTGATCCATTCGTCTACTGATGGGCACTTGGGCTGTTTCCAGATCTTAGCGATTGTAAATAGTGCTGCTACAAAGATGGGGGTACATATATTCTTTCTTATTGGTGTTTTATGCTTCTTAGGGTATATTCCTAGAAGTGGGATCACTGGGTCAAATGGAAGATCAATTTTTAATTTTTTGAGGTAACACCATAGTGTTTTCCATAGCGGCTGCACCAGTCTGCATTCCCACCAGCAGTGTACTAGAGTCCCCTTTTCTCCACACCCTCGCCAACACTTGTTGTTTGATGATTTGTTGATGGCGGCCATTCTGACAGGTGTGAGGTGATACCTCATTGTTGTTTTGATTTGCATCTCTCTGATGATTAGTGATGATGAGCATTTCTTCATATGTTTCTTAGCCATTTGTATGTCCTGTTTGGAGAGGTGTCTATTTAGTTCCTCTGCCCATTTTTTAATTGGGTTCTTTGTCTTCCTTTTGTGGAGTTGTATGAGCACTCTATATGTATTGGAAATTAACCCCTTATCTGATGTATCATTGGCAATTTTGCTCTCCCATACAGTGGGTAGCCTTTCCGTTTTTGATGATTGTATCTTTCGCTGTGCAGAAGCTTTTGAGTTTGATGTAGTCCCATGTGTTCATTTTCTCCTTTGTTTCTATTGCCTTAGGTGATGTGTCAGTAAAAATTCTGCTGCGTATGATGTCTGAGATTTTGTTGCCCACAGTCTCCTCTAGGATTTTTATGGATTCATGAGTTACATTTAAGTCTTTTATCCATTTTGAATTTATTTTGGTGTAGGGTGTAAGTTG